AGCAGTAGTGGAGTTAGGCAGTATTTAGGTCATAAAAGTGAGCTACCAAATTAAGGCCTGGCTATTTGTGGTTGTTTTTCAAATTGGGTTTTTCAAACAAAAAACAACACACCTAGTATGATGTTTATAAAGCCTTGTTGTTTCAATTTTGGGGGGGTTTCAGCAGGTCAAGGGTGATAGGTCTTAGAGGAGCACACAGTGAATTTTATGGAGTTTTTTAGCTTTTGTCTGAGTTTGGGGTATATATGATTTCTTATGAGAATGAATGTCATGAGGACTTAATGAACACTTGGGATAACTAACATTTATGAAATATTTAGAATAATGGTAATGTTTAGTATACTATGGGATTAAACAGTTCGTTAAATGATTTCAATTGCCTCTGAACTCTGTTTTAACATTCTGGTGTTAATTAATCATCCACACTAGTAAATTCTAAAGGCATGAGAGGAGGACTTTAAGATAGTTTATTTTACTAAGTTGAGGGTAATTTATAGTACTGTGAAAATTGTGAAGAAGATTATACTTTGGTAATAATATATTTGATTTGAACCATAAAATAACAGAAGAGAGAGTGGAGGAATGGCAATTGGATAATGAATTACCAATATTAACTAAAGTGATTGTTTAGGTAGGTGGTAATATTGACACATGGCCAAATCATGTGTCAAAAAGGAGACTGAAGCAGGCCTGGCGGGAAGGGCCCTACCAAGTACTGCCTTTGCCAGCAGAATAGCTGAGAGATCCATCTGGGTGCATGTCACTCACTGCAAAAAGGTAAACCCAGCTACACCTGACGAACAAACACAGAGTTAGGAGAAAGATCCGATCACCACTAGGGCTCGGGGGTTGGCTCCTTAACGAAGATTCCCTTACCCTGTCTGATCATCCCTGTGTGAGTTCGATAGAAGGTGAAGCAATGGGTTGGCCTCTGGCGTCTGACATGTTCTCAGGGCGAGGGTGGGGATTCACAGGTCTCCCGACGGTAGGTAGCTGTCTGATTGTGGGGGCCATATTCCTAACACACACGGACCCTCCTGTTTCAGCCAGAAGTGGTAGTTAACCTAACACAAGTTGAAAAGGCATAGGAGACAGCTAGACGTAGGGAAAAGGGGAAATACTAGGGACTTTAGGGAAGGACATCACCAATCTCCATACACAGTTTAGGGACAGGTGGAGTATTGTGAAAGTAGGGAATTATCAGAAATGGCAGTGCGACCCATATAAGGGTAGGTACTGTCTGAAAGTCTGAATTATGCTAAAACAGATTACAGACCTGACAGGTGAGATATCCTCTTCAACTGGGGCACCCTATAGAGTAAACCTCTCTGAGGGAGGTAGTGAGACAGTGCAAACTATAGACCTGAAGGAAGTAGTACAGATGGAGACGGAGTAAATAGATTTTAACCTGTGGTTGGAATGGGTTCAGTATACGGTCTAAAGAGGACTGTTATGCCTGTAGGACAGCCAAACCAAGGTTAACAACTACTCCGTTCCCCTTGACAGGCTTTGACTCTCTGTCAGGTTTATCCTCCATGCAAGCCACCTGGGAATGTGGTGAAAAAGTCTTATGGTAACTTGCACTATCTGTATCCCCCGATAACAAAGTCATCCCGACCTGGGTTGCCTCAGTTTGAAGTCACAGGGGATTCTAATTGTTTTTCTAGGACTAATAAGATAGGAGACAGGGTAAGGCATCTTAGCTCCTGCTCCCACACAGAGAATATCACAACTAAAAGAGACCATGACTAATCTCTCCTCTTTGTTGCAGCCAGAGGATTTTAGGAACCAAAACCAGGCCCGTGCTGACATCTGATGGATGTGTGGTGATAACTGATTGTGAACTCACCTACATACGCAAATAATCAAACGTGTCAGAGACTGGTGAGTTGTCACATAGAAAGTAGGACCTCCTCCCGGGATCCTTTGATGAAAGGATATATATTGATGGGATCCACAATCAGATCGCAGCTGGGTTTGAATCAAGTATTTTCTGGTGGTCAACAATTAATAAAAATGTAGATTGGATAAATCATATTTAATATAACCAGCAAAAGATTTATAAACCACACTCGTGATGCAATAAAGGGATTAGCTGAGCAGACAGCGGCAACTAGCTTAATGACATGGCAGAATAGAATAGCTTTAGATATGCTTTTGGCTGAGCGGGACGGGGTTTGTGTTCTGTTTGGATATATGTGCTGTACTTTCATCTCCAACAACACAGCACCGGACGGGTCCGTGACCAAAGCGCTTCAGGGACTCACCACGCTGGCGAACGAACTGGTTGAGAACTCTGGTATTGATAGCTCCATAAACGGTTGGTTTGATAACATATTTGGTAAATGGAAAACTATTGTTGTGACTATTCTGGGTGAAGTTATAGCTTCTATGGGTATACTTGTTCTTTGTGGATGTTGTCTTATTTCCTGTGTCTGAGGGTTGGTGAGAAAAGGAGATGGAGAAGGTGGTTTCCAAACAGATGGTGAGATACGGCCCAATCCCGGACTCCGACCTAAGGAATGAAGGATATGACCTACCAGGCTTGGTGGAGTGACACTCTAGAGGGTGTCTAAAGGGGGCCAAAAATTTACTTCCCTGTTGGTGTTTTATGTTTTAATAATCTTATGTTTTGTGTTCTATTAATCCTGTGTTTTATGCTTTATTAATCAAGTTAACCATTGAGAATGTTTGTCTTTCCTTATGTGAAGGTTTGAAGTGCCTGGGTGACTTGTAGCCAACCGTTTGCAAGTTGGGTGTAGATGGAAGGACTGAAGGACTTTTATTATCAAATTGTCTATTAATAAAAGTGTTTATTTTTGTTTGTATTGCATTTTAATGAGTGACACCCTAGAGGGCGTCAAAAGGGGGAATTGTTGGGTTCTATTTTTCTCATAATTGGATCTGTATGTGATGAATAGCTTGGAAGGAATGCATTAATGAACTGTACTGATATAAATTGTTTCACATAACAGGCTGTTGTTATTCATGTAAGGAACGTTAGGGGTAGGACAGATAAGACTTGTATTTCTTACAGATACGAACACTCTCTCTTTGTAGTCTGTGAAACTGTCCTTGAACATGGAGTACAGTGGAATGGTGTCTTTTGGGTGCTGACTCCGCAGGTTATTATCATAGCAACTATGCCTGGCAACAAATGGAGTGCCGAGGAGTTGGGACCAACCCCTGCGCCAACGGATTGGCTGAATGGAGTCTGGACCACACTCAGTCCTTTGCTCTGGTTGGCCAACAGAAGAGGTGGAGGCTTTCTGTCAGAGTATTTGAGAAAGAATCTGTAAACAATAATTCTAGTTCTCTGTCTGCCCTGCGTGGTTTTTCAGTGAGCCCGTATACTAACCTTCATACTTATCATACATACATTTTGCATATAATAAATTTAGCTTGGATTGAATATCTCTTGATTATGTTTTCTCTTATTCCAATACCAGATTTGAATTATGCAATTTCTAACATGGTAAATGATTAGACACTAAAGGAAATGTGCACGTTTTATTTAGCTAGTTAAAATGTAAATAAAGTGTTATGACCTGGATTAAACATTAGACAGCATTAGATGTGTATTCTGGAACAGACCGCTCTGCAACAAGGTTGTGTGATAGGACCTTCTGTGTTTGCTTTTAGTAAATAGATACGGTAACTGCTTTTTTTACTCCCTCACCCATTTTAGCTGCTTGTGCCACGGGGGTCTTCAAAATAGCATCAAGGTGAGTTTTCAATAGCTGATTATCTCTAGACAAGTCCATAAGTACATGTACGTGAATATGCATTTCACGACAGCTTCATGACTTTCTGCATTGTCTGCAGTGCCTACATTCCTCTGAACAACATGGTGTTTGTTTAATTATGTTGATGGTCTGTACACCACAGCGAAAGGTGGGTTTTCTGTTTACAGCTTTCAGGTTAAGAATGGTATGATGAAAGGTAACTGGTAATAAATTGTTGTCTAATACCTCTATATTTATTTAAAATGTCAAGAGAACCTTTCAGCCTGCAGCCAAGTGAAGACTCAAGTCTCTATCTACGCATTTGATTCTGGAAAGGCAAACTACTCCACTGTCATATTTGATATCTGGAACAGTTAGTGAAATCTCTGTGTTATATGCACTGCAACCTCATAAGCTCTCTTGCACTGGAGAAAAGAGAACAGTACCATACTTTTAAAAAATGTTTTATTCTTTTACAGTTTCTCGTGAGGTCTTTATTAATGTTTTTGATTTCGTTGCAGTAATTTTTCATGGGGTTTCACACGCCCAGACACAACTGGAATAAATGTTTTCCTATACAAAACATATCTTCTGTGTGTTTACAAGTCTGACAAAGAACTGGAGATGAAATGCATTGATTTACATATTTTCAATTAAACACACTGCAAAACATAGTTTCACGCTGTATTCTGTTGGCAAAGTAATAACAACGACGTCTGGTGGTTGATGTTGGGGAGAACATGCTCGTCCTATGAGATAAAGCTGAGTTTGAAGAGCAAAGTCTGGGGAGATTTATGATTGAGACTTCAGGCCTGAGTGGGTAAATGGTTTTCCTTGTTGCATATCCATCACGTTCAAAAGTGTTCCTAACGTTTTTGGGGTATTTTTGTGTGAACAAACATCAACATTATGTCTGTAGCCTAGTAATAATTATACTTCCAAGTTATTCAATGGTGCATACACATTTGTAAGCGCTAATGTGGAGAAGTACTACTCCAAGAAATATACATGTATTTTCTGAATATTCGCCAGACCCCTGTGGTCATATTGCCACTACTAAGAATGGTGCCCCGGGTGTACGGATGTCGCTTATTGTAGACCATTTCATTGGTCCTAAAGCATTTCATTGGTCCTATAAATCTCTACCTAACCAGGCCACCGGGCCATGCAAAACGAGCTCGCCCTAGGTCAGGACAGGAGCACCCATTTCATCGGACTGTATAATGACGTCACATGTGGGTGGTTGCTGCTACGTGGAAAGGAAGTAGCTAGCTAGCCAGTTGCCAAAAATACCAAAACAAATCGACAGTGCAGGGGAAAGACGGTTCATGAAATAGCATAACATTTAAACAGTCATGTCATGATTGAGGCGAGGCGTTTCATTGCACCTTATGGATTACCTAGCTTTCTTTCTGGAGTATTCTTTGACGTGGATCGATGAAAGGTTTGCCTGATTGTTGTCAGCTAGCTAACATTAGTTAGCTAGCTAGGTATCCAAGTTAGACAACTCGCTGCTTTGCTTCGCATTTCCTTTTTTTGAGTAACATAATTTAGCTATACTAGATCGAGATTGTCGTTAAAAATATATGACACATTACGTGGAATGGACATTATTTCAAGCTGACAAGTTAAGTCTCTTGTTAGCTAACCTCATTTGGATGTTCATACTCCTAGCTAGCTAACCTGTTCACTAACGTTAGCTAGCTAGCAATAGACAGCTATCATGAGTTGGTTCAGCTCTACCCAACTGTCAAGCTTTGCCAAACAAGCTTTGACAACAGCTCAGAAATCCATCGACCGAGTTCTGGACATTAAAGAAGACGAATGGGGTGACACAGTGGTAATGCCTTATGACGGTAGGTGAAGTAACGTTATCTAGCTAGCTAGCTTAGCATGTCTGTGTGCTGTTGTCAGTGGTTGTTTTGGGGTCAACATTATACAACCTTTTGCGTTTGAACATTATTTCTGAATTGATGTGATTACCAATGGAAGCAAGACACTAGTCATCTTGATAAGGAAGGCAGTCATGATGAGGTGTCCATGAAGAGGTGTCTAATGTACTGTACCCAATAAAGCAAATATTTGATATGGTTTGGAGTCTGACTGTTATAAGTCCTTATCATCTGGACATTAACCAACAAGGATTTTCCCGTTAGATCTACCAGGGAAGACTCCATTGAGCAGTGGATGGGGGATGACACAATGGGACTCTCCTCCGGAGGAATGCACCACAACTCTCCCCCCATCGTCTGAGGCCATCACAACCCCTGTCACCCGCATGGTTGTGGATGAAACAGAGAACTTCTTCAGTGCTTTTCTGCCCTCAGGAGAGCTCCAGGGTGTCATGGACAACCAGGTTGTCTCTGTGCCGCCCACCAAGTCCCACAGGCGGCCACAGGAGAAGGATGAGGAGGACATGGAGACGGTGGTTAAGGACGACGTGGACCTTCACAAGACAGGCCTGACAGAGACCGACCGACTGGAAGACAAGGAAGCTACTGAGAACCAGGCTGTCCTGACTGAGTCCTCAAGTCTATGGTCTTCCTCGGAAATCGTCCTCGTTCAGACACCAGACCCTCCAGTCCTGGCTCAGAGTGATGCTCCTGATGACACTGACAGTCCACTAATCAGTGAGAGCTGGATAGAATCAACTGTAGAGGATACAACTGCTGTTTCTGAGGATGCACAAACAGAACAACCATTTACTCCCTCAGAAACCCAACCTGATGATGATGTTGTTCACACCTCTGAACCCACCGTCAACACTGAAATGGAGCCCCCCTTCAATCCAACTCCTCCCACACCCCCTAGGGAAATCTTATTGGAGCCCAAAGACCCCAAAGCGGGGGACAGGCAGAGTGACACACCCTCCCCCAAATCGGAGGACAGACAGAGCAACACCCCCTCCCCTCCTGTCAGCGCCTTCTCCTCAGGCACCTCCACCACCAGTGACATTGAGGTTTTGGACCATGAGAGTGTGCAGAGTGAGAGCTCAGCCAGTTCCAGGCAGGAGACGGCAGAGGCCAAAGCAGGCCTCCACCTGATGCAGGGCTCCTTCCAGCTTCTCTCAGCCTCTGCCTGTGGGGACTTCCCCCGCCTGGAGGACTACCCCAAGCTGACCGAGAGCTGTGGATCCTCCTCAGATGCCTTTGAGCGCATCGACTCGTTCAGCATGCAGTCCCTGGACAGCCGCAGTGTCAGTGAAGTCAACTCTGACGATGAGATCCCAGGGAGCCGGACGCTGGCGTCTGTCACCGCAGGGCCCACGCCTTCACCGCCTGTCAGAGTGGCAACCACCGAACAGGAACGGGAAGAGGAGGAGAAGCAACAGGAGGAGGAAGAAGAAGACGAGGAGGGGCTAACAGAAACAATGAAGGATCAGTCTCTGGATGAGAATGAGATGGAGGAGAGTGGTCGCAGTGCCACGCCTGTTAACAGTGAGCAGCCTGAGGACCTGATGGAACAGGAACAGGAATCAGAGGCGGACGTCACACTGTCAGGTCCCACCCCTGACCATGAGGAACCGCTGCCCCCACCAATAACAGAGGAGAAAAGAGGAGTGTCAACATGTCAGATTCTGGAGCTTCAAAAGGTAACACACCTGTTCAGAACATGACGTTTGTAACTTGTAACAACACTTTTTAATGAACAGTGTGTGTGTGTGCGTGAGTTGGTGTGTCCCTTTTATAAATACCAACGTCTGGAGAGCAGAATTGTAAAACACTTGGTTGGGCAATCCTGTTCATACGCCAAAGTAAATAGTCACTCTGGATAAGCTGCATTCCCCCAAACCATCATGAATATACAATGTGCACCTCTGTTTTGAACAACGCTTTTGATGGAGACTGTGAGAAGACTGAAGGACTAATAATTTAATAAGTTTAGAAACAAGGTGCCTTATCAGTGTTTTTGATGCATTGGTTTGTGGAATATCCTTTTTTTGTAGGTAATTGATGAGCTGTCAAGCCGCCTTGAGAAGAGGGAGTTACAGCTGCTGTCAGTCAGCAAAGACAAGGCCAGGCTGGAGGAGGAGTGTGACAACCTTAAAGAGTGAGTATAAAGATCCTGACAATGTGTAAAACCCATGTCTGAAATGCATTGTAAGGGCAGAAAGAAGCAGTGTACAAAACAAAAGGAACACCTTCATAATATTGAGTTGCACCCCCTTTTGGAAGGAAAATGATGTGGATATATTGAAACAACATCTCAAGACATCAGTCAGGAAGTTAAAGCTTCCAAATGGACAATGACCCCAAGCATACTTCCAAAGTTGTGGCAAAATGGCTTAAGGACAACAAAGTCAAGGTATTGGAGTGGCCATCACAAAGCCCTGACCTCAATCCTATAGAAAATGTGTGGGCAGAACTGAAAAAGCGTGTGCGAGCAAGGAGGCCTACAAACCTGACACAGTTACACCAGCTCTATCAGGAGGAATGGGCCAAAATTCACCCAACTTATTGTGGGAAGCTTGTGGAAGTCTACCCAAAACGTTTGATCCAAGTTAAACAATTTAAAGGCAATGCTACCAAATACTAATTTATTGTTTGTAGACTTCTGACCCACTGGGAATGAGATGAAAGAAATAAAAGCTGAAATAAATCATTCTCTCTACTATTATTCTGACATTTCACATTCTTAAAATAAAGTGGTGATCCTAACTGACCTAAGACAGGGAATTTTTACTAGGATTAAATGTCAGGAATTGTGAAAAACTGAGTTTAAATTTATTTGGCTAAGGTGTATGTAAACTTCTGACTTCAACTGTAAATGTTTTGTGTTGCCCATTCACCCTCTGAATGGCACACATACACAATCCATGTCTCAAGTCTTAAAAAATCCTTCTTTAATCTGTCTCCTCCCCTTCATCTACACTGATTGAAGTCTATTTAACAAGTGACATCAATAAGGGATCATAGCTAACCCGTCTACTTGAATAGTAAAGAAACAAATAGCAAATAGTTTGTCGGCCAATTTGTCCACTTGGTTGTGTCTATGGTAAAGTATAGTCTATGGAAAAGGATGGTCCTTTAAGAGACTGAGGGGTCTCTCTGTGTTGCAGTGAGGTGATAGGTCTTAAGGAGGAGAGTTCCAGTGTGCAGTCTCTGAAGGAGGAGTTCACCCAGCGCATCGCAGACACAGAGAGGAAAGCCCAGCTAGCATGCAAGGAGAGGGACATTGCCAAGAAGGTAAAACACAAGCTTATTACTCCCTGTCTGTGCCAGGTATTACTGTCCCTGGTTACTCTACCCCCATAATAATTGATTTTAAGATTATTGAGTCAAATAACTGAACATTAGTGACCGTGATAGTCACATTATGAACAAAGCCGCCTTCAAGAACGCGCTCTCCAGTTTATTTTACTGTTCTGCTTCCTCCATAGGAGATCAAGGGGATGAGGGAAGAGCTGTCCACCAGACTGAACTCCAACGAGACTATGGAGATCATCAGAGAGAAGGAGGAGCAGATCCGAGAACTGCTGGAAGAGGGTGAAAAGCTGTCCAAGCAGCAGCTGCAGCACTCCAACATCATCAAGAAGCTGCGTGTGAAGGAGAAGGAGAGTGAGACCAAAATCTCCAAACAGAACAAGAAGCTGAAAGAGCAGGAGGAAGAGCTCAAACACCTACAGCAGGTCAGTGGAAATATATATATTTTAGAAAAATCGCATTACTTCAGTGGTCATCAGTCTATCCTGATCCTGAAAGCCCATTTGGTATTTAACCCTGCCTGGCTGTGTGTGTGTGTCTGTAGGTTCTGGATGAGAAGGAGGAGGTGGAGAAGCAGCACAGGGACAACATTAACAAGCTGAATGTGGTGGTGGAACACCAGGAGAAGGACATGACCAAACTCCAGAGTGACTCAGAGGAGCTCCTGGAAAACAACAGGAGCCTGCAGGCTGCCCTCGACAACTCCTACAAGTAAGGATACATACTGTACTTCACTCTACTAGTATAACTCGCACAGGTGAAATATTAGCTCACTCCACCCTACTTTTCCAACTCCTGCTTCAGACGTGCAGATGTGCTTGTAATTTTGAAATCCCACAAAGACACAACATTCTGACAGGTAAAGACTGTCACAGAAGCACCAACTCATACAACATATCCAAGCCAGTGTAGTGTAGTAACGTGGCGGAAGGTAGCCAGCGGTTAAGAGCGTTGGGCCAGTAACTGAAAGGTCGCTGGTTCGAATCCCTGAGCCGACTAGGTGAAACATCTGTCGATGAGCAAGGCACCTAACCCTAATTGCTCCTTTAACTCGCTCTTGATAGGAGCGTCTGCTAAATTACTCAAATGCAAATGTGTGTCTGTGATCTGAGGGAGCTGGCGGTGCTGCACAAAGCCAAGGCCAGCCATGCCAGCGAGGCCCAGGAGGCTGCTTTGAGCAGGGAGACCCAGGCCAAGGAGGAGCTGGCTCTGGCCCTGGTGAAGGCCCAGGAGGAGGCCCGCATGCAGCAGGATGCTCTGGTCAACCAGGTGGCTGATCTGCGGCTGGCTCTGCAGAGGGCTGAACAGCAGCAGGCCAGGAAAGAAGACTACCTGAGGGAGGAGATCAGTGACCTGCAGCAGGTAAGAGACACTCACACAGGCCTGTTCTCCTCATGTCTTCTTTGGAGTTGACTGTAAGGGGAAGCCGTGCTTGTGTGTTAGGGGTCAAAGGTCACACATTGATGTGTTTGCCGGTTGTCTCCATAGAGACTGCAGGGGGCGGAGACCAGGAACCAAGAGCTGAGTCAGAGTGTTACCTTGGCAACGCGGCCCCTGCTCAGACAGATTGAGAACCTGCAGGCCTCGCTGGGGGGCCAGACCGCATCATGGGAGAAACTGGAGAAGAGCATCTCAGATCGACTAGGTTACTCTCAAAAGTTACTCTAGTTTGTAACAAGCTTTTTAAGAGTCTTCTCTGGACCACCGATTGCGCCTATATATATATATATATATATATATATATATATATATATATATATATATATATATATATATATATATATATATATATATATATTTTTTATATATATATAATTCATTTAACCTCCCACACTTTAACTCAACAGTGGAGGCACAGGCCCAGCTTGCCGTTGCCGTGGAAAAGGAGCGTGCAGCAACCGAGGAGCTGATGGCCATTAAGGCCCAGCTGGCCTCGCTGGAGTCCCAGAATTCCCTGCTTCGACAAGAGAAAGGGCGTCTCCACGGTCAGCTGGACGCAGAGAAGACCAGGCGGGAGAAACTGGAGGATGACAGCAGCAGGTACTGGAGGGCTTTTTTTCATAGGCTCTGTGAGACTAAAACTGTTGCACAGCAGTCAGTTGCCTTTGCTTTCATTAAGGTGGACCTGACGGCTATCCATTACAGAGCTTTGGAGCCTTTCCATTAATGCCCATTTTCTGTCATCCTTATGGTTTAGGGAGCATGTGGAGCTGGATAATCTGAGGGGAGAGCACACTCGAGCACAGGAGGAGGCCAAGAAGGAGAAGGTATGTTCCCTCCCCTGCCCTACTCACCCTGCAGTAATGGAACAACGCTCCTCACACATCCGTAACCTCCTCTATTCTGTCTGTTCCTCCCACCAGCTCCTCCTGACCAATCAGCTGGAGATGGAGAAAATGAAGGTGGAGCAAGAGAAGAAGAAATGCTACCTAGCACAAGAGGCCCTCAAGGAAAAGGTATATATATTTATCAATGTCTGTTCTATATATCAATGACCAGCCTTGTGTGTCTGTTCTTAAATCAATCTGTGTGGCGCGAGACTGGCCTGATGTATATGATGTTTCTCTGTCATTAGGAGCGGAAGGTATTGGTTCACTCTGTGGGTGAGCCCCCAGCCTCATCCACCCCCTCCCTGTCCCGTTCCAGCTCCATCAGTGGGGTAGATCACGCCGGCCTGCACTCCTCCTTCTCCCAGGTACTTGCCACAGGCACACCTTTTACCCTTTCGTACCCAGCCAACCTCCCATTTCTAGCCCAGTATTAGGGATGACCTAGAAAGTTATGTTTTTTTGTTTATTACATGCAGCTCAGTAAGAGCTGTTGGTAGAGCATGGCGCTTGTAACGCCAGGGTTGTGGGTTCGTTTCCCACGGGGGCCAGTATGAAAAATGTATGCAGTCACTAACTGTAAGTCGCTCTGGATAAGAGCGTCTGCTAAATGACAAAAAAAACAAGATGAATAGGGAACTTATGACAAAGGGCCAAATCCTAACTATTTTGCATAATTGGTTCATTTGAGGTTGAATGGTTAACAAGACCTGTTTTGTATTTCATCAGGAGGACTCTCTGGGTCACTCGTTGGGGACGATGACCATGTCTATGAGTGGGACCAACCTGTATGAGGCGGCTCGGCTCAGTGGAGGCTCCAGCATCATAGAGAACCTGCAGTCCCAGCTCAAACTCCGAGAGGGAGAGATAGCGCAGCTACAGGTACCAGCTGCCTGCCTGACACTGCTTTCACATTGCTTTGAGGACTACCATTGGAAGTCTCCTACATGCATTTCTTTAAATGCCTTCTAGTTTTCAATGAAGTTTATGATTTACAAATATACTGTTGTTGAAAAACTGTGCTTGCCAGGATCTTACCACTCGCTTCTCATCTCCCTCTCTCTCTCCATCCCTTTCTCCCTCAGCTGGAGATCTCTAGTCTGGAGAGGACTCGCTCGTCCATGGCGGAGGAGATGGTCAGATTGACCAATCAGAATGAGGAGATGGAGGACAGTGTGAAGGAGATCCCCACACTGAAAGTGCAACTTCAGGTGAGGAGAGGATCAATTCATACAAATACCACTAAGCCAGTGAAATACAAGTACCACTAAGCCAGTGTAATCATATTAGGGTCAATCCTTGTTGTGATTCTTTACTTAAAAACCAAGATGTTATGTGAGAACTGACATCTCACAAGATGAGTTGCTGGGCAGAGATGTATAACCATCTAGGAACAGATAAAGGAAAGGTAAAGTCAATTAGGGTAAACCCTCTTGTGACTATATAGATCTAGTGTTGTCCTCTGAGCCTGTGTTCTGTGACTGACTGTGTTGTAGGAGCTGGAGCAGAGACACAACACCATCCTCCAGATGTATGGAGAGAAGGCTGAGGAGGCAGAGGAGCTGAGACTTGACCTGGAGGACGTCAAGAACATGTTCAAAACCCAGATTGACGAACTGCTCAAGAACCAGAAATAGACTGTTCTATCTAATGTCCAGACCATACACAGTGCATTTACTGTAAAGACGGTAAAATAAGAGTTCATGCACATTTTATTTCTGATTACAGAATAGTCTCTCTTTTTTTTTTTTTTAGGTGTTCCATCACTGTCTCTAAAGGAAGTGGCATTTGAAAGTCTGTGATTTATATTATTTTAACAATCAGAATCTAACTATTTAAGAGGGAAATTATGGGACTATGGGTAATAAATCAATATCTTCTTAACATGTACAGATATGAAGGATAGTCACAATTAAGATTCTACAGTCATAATTTACTAGTTCCTTTGCATTGATTCAAAACCCAACAACCTGTTACACAGATTGTTTTAGATATCACTGTCCTTAATTGTGATCGACTGGCTTCCTTTTTCACTTTGTGTGTAGTGGGATGATTCAGAATGGACTATCAAGTTATATTGACAGTTTATATCCCCCTAACCCCAGCATCCTAATTGCCATCAGTGTGTATGTTTCAGAATACTGTACATCTTACTTTAGGATGAAAGAACAGAAAGGAGAGTAAATATGGTATATATTGCTTGCTTGCATTTTGCTTCAGAGGTATCATGTATAGACAACCAAACCTTGCCCTTGATGTGTATCAGTGGACTAGGAAATCTGTTGAGGCAAGGCAAGGGTAATCTGCAGATATCGCAGAGGTATTTTCCTTGGAATTTAAAAAGAAAGCTATGATTTAATCTCATGTAAACATGATGGTGTAAAATGGAGGTTTGCTCTAAAATGTTTGGTCTTTCCCTTAATTGTTTAAAGTTGGACAGAAAACCATTAACTGTTATAACAAATGTATCAAAAATAAAGAATATTGCACAGTGGTATGTAGTCAATAGTTTACAGGATTATTCACAGATCACTCATGTGGCATAGACATTATGTTAATAACACTGTTGATTTACAAGATTCTTGGGGTCTAAAATGTAAAATCTGTAAATAAATAAACAGTTATTGGGATGGGGATTTATTCGTGATGTGCTTTTTTTTTTTGTTGCAGAATTGTAGGCAAAAACAACTGCACTTCTGCAAGTCTGAACTACATGCTACAACTCCACCTTGTGACTAATAATATACTGCATGCCAGTGTAAGGTTTCCGGTGTTATGGCGACCTGGAGCATACATTTTTGTTTGCAGAAGAAGGTAAGCGCCAGGTTTAATGTGTAGTTTAATCTACTGATCGACCACATACTGTTTCTATTCCCGAGAAGTAGGTTTTCGAAGTTTGCTGGTTCTAAACTTTCACTGTCACCATTTTCACTTGGAATGCATTGAATTGTACCGTGTACCAACAAAAGTGGTGGCACCAAGAATGTTGCAAGCTGATGTCTGGGTAGCGGGAGCACAATGATGATGATTTGTCGAGCAATGCAAATATTCTAGTCCAGACATTTTAGGGGCGTTTTGTATTGGTCGTGTATTAATAATATTGGTGCAACTTGTTAACGAGCGCTTTGGAGTGGCGTACTCCGTAAGCTACAGATAATTATCTTGTAGCTGTAGCTGAACAACTAGTTAAAATCGGATACAATGTTTCACTGTGCGCGTATAGTTGATAGCGTGGGTTACATGCAATAACACGATTGTGTTCTGGATGCGCAATTTATTACTTTGATAAAATAGAAGGCCCTGCGATACTCCCTTGGAGAAGTCTAGACGGCTAATAGATTCAGGGAGCAACATTTTACAACAGAAAAGCATGCCGTAATTATGTTATCCGACATATAGCCTGTTAGTGTTATTATTCAAGGCTCTGAACTTACATATAGGTCTACTAACAACTTGACCATCTTTATGTTTTGAAGCATTATGCCATTTTCCCACGGACTCAAAAGCATATCAGATATTTGGTTCATTGTTCCACAAATAAAATAAAAAGTCTCTCAGCCTGAGTGTAAAGTAGGCTAGGCTACTGCTGTACTGTATTTAACGTTGTTTTGCTTTGCTAAAGCAATCTATGGTTGTGTCAGTATATATGTATTAACAAACACATTTTCCACCAATAAGGGTTTTTTCTCAGGACAAGCACAGCAGCATGGGAATATAATATGATTATGTTATGTGTTGATATTCTTCTAGTCTGCCCTTTTTTGGTAGCTGTGTTCTCAACTTCTCATGGGTCACATGTCATACTGCACTTGTTTTTTTAAAGTCAGTTTCCCCTATCCCAGCCATGATTGCTCAAACAATGGTAGGAAAAAGGTCACTAATGTTTCCTTCACTAGGACCTCTCCTATATGGAGTTCAGATCCGCCTCGAGGCAGGTTTCCACACTATAGTCTATACCCACACGCTTGTAAACTGCGGTATCCACCTCTTGTCTGCCTCTCTTGCCTTTTCTTTCTCCATCTCTTTCTCTATCTCCCTCTCCTTTTCTCTCTCTTTCTCTCTCTCTCTCCACAGAGTTTGGGCTGTGCTGTGAGGTAAGCCAAGGCGACTCTCCCATGTGTTTGTGTGGGACTGACTATGCTGTTGTCGGTAGCACTGGTCATGGTCTGTACTTACACTGTGGTAGCTGCCGAGAAGGCTGAGAACACCAGCCACAAACCACCACTCCACTACAGCAGCCTCTCGCTGCCACATGACCATATCCCCTACTTCCTTCACACTAACAAGAGAGTGGCCAGGCTCTGTCGAGAGGACCTGCTCTGCCCTTTTAAAGTAAGAACTGCACTTTCATTGTTTTTTAATAGTACAGGGTGAGCTATTGTTTTATTATCACTGTGTAATTATCACTGTTTTATTATCAATGTGTTATTGTCACTGTTTTATTAACACTGTGTTATTATCACTGTGTAATTATCAATGTGTTATTATCACTGTTTTATTAACACTGTTATTATCACTGTGTAATTATCAATGTGTTATTATCACTGTTTTATTAACACTGTTATTATCACTGTGTTATTATCACTGTTATTATCACTGTGTTATTATCACTGTTATTATCACTGTTTTATTATCACTGTGTAATTATCAATGTTTTATTAACACTGTGTTATTATCACTGTTTTATTATCACTGTGTTATTATCACTGTTTTATTAACACTGTTTTATTAACACTGTGTTATTATCACTGTGTTATTATCACTGTGTTGTTATGTTGGGTATCGTACCATGTTGGGTATTGTCATTCATACTGTGGGGTGGGATTAGCTATTTTTAACGCTTGAACTCAGTTGAACTTTTGTCAAGGTGAATCTATTTTCTAAGCAGCCAGTCTTGTGGACAGAGAGTGACAAACGTTAAGAGCTTACGATTACTGAAAGTTTAAAGCTTTGGACAGTGACCACATACAGATGTTTTTGTGTATCATGGTGGTACATGTAGGCTGTTTAGTGTGATCTTTCATGGTCCATCCAAGTGTGTGTTAGCACATCTTTAGTGCTTCCCTCCCTCCCCCTCCCCCACCCTTAATGTTTTATGACAGGATGCTCTGCTGGATGTGTCGGCCTGCTGGGGGTATGAGAAGAACTGTGCCCCAGAGAACCGCTTTGGCTATCCTGTCTGCACCAAGGTCGACTCTGGATGGTACAACACAATCCCCCTCTCTGCATTTCCCTTTATTCATTAGCATATTGTGCCAAGCTCCTGTCAAACATGTGGATGTGCATAATTTATTTCTGCCACTGGTTTGGCCTAACAGAGATCTTTGTCCTCTTTAGGGCCAGCTCAGTGGAGGCAGCCCAGGAGCTGTTCTGGAAACAGGCAGACTTTGGTTATGTCATGGAGCGCCTCAGTGAGATGAAGACCCTCTGCAAGGCCACCAATCCTGTAAGCCCTGCCTTCCCTCAGAGCAGCTGCACACAGAGGACTCAGGGATCCACAGAGATAAACAACAGGGATAAACGGAAAAGGCATTTGCTAAATGCTTGCATTTGATTTCTAGGGAGATTCGTCTCTGAAATGCTCCAGCCATACTCGCTTCTGCAGGGCGACCAATCTGTACCTCGACCTAAGGAACCCTCGCAGAGGTCATGAGAGGTCAGTGCACCCTGGGGGACACTTCCTGTCTAGCGCCCCATCTGGGTTCCTTGTTTTTTCCTGCATGGACTATGTCAGGGGAAGAATTCTAGTAGTTTATTTTGGGTCTGTTCCTTCCATTTGCTTGTCCCTTCACATTCATCGACCTAAAGGACAGGATAGGCAATATGGCAGACACTCATCTTAGCCTAATGAAATAAATGATTATCAAATTAAAGAAGTGCGGAACTCACCTGTGCTTTCTCTGCAGGTATAAGGAGGACTTTCTCCAGGAGGGGGAGATTGGGGGGCGTTGCAGTCTGAACAGTCGAGCGCTGGCCACAGAAGGAGAGCACAAGAGCCCTCTGCAGTCCTGGTGAGACAAAACAGAATCCTTATGCCCCTCCCTGAACTGGCGGATTCATATCAAGGTTTCTTCTTACTAAGGACGTTTCACTTTGTAACAAAATTATTTGATTGATTGACGATCATATGAAAGACACATGCTCTTTTTCCCTCCCAAGGTATGCTGAACTGCAGACATACACAGAGCTGGACTATAACACCACAGATGAAGAGCACTGTGACATCATCATTGAGAAACCTACTGTATTCATGAAGCTTGACGCAGGTGGGAACAATCTTCATGCCTTTTAGTACAATGTCAAATAACTAATTCTGTTTGTGTACAGTGTAGAACTAGTGACACAGTAACAGATGTACTGAGATGTGATGGACAAACCTGAATGTGTCTTTTTCACAGGGGTGAACATGTACCATCACTTCTGTGACTTTGTCAACCTGTACATTTCCCAGCACATCAACAACTCCTTCAGCAGAGACATCAACATCCTCATGTGGGACACGGTGGGTACAACATTCTGCAACATTCTGCAGCCCATCTCCATTTCACTGATCTGAGAGGACTGGATAGGTGCAAGAAATTTGGTGATGTCTCCACTGGGCCCTCCATAGGCTAATTGGAGATTTTACCATGTTGCACGCTGTTGTTTTGTTCAAAGCTGTTTGTACTGTACAGAAATAATTGTTAGTATGGTTGTTGACCAGAGTGTTGTGTAAAGAAGTGTTAGTATGGTTGTTGACCAGAGTGTTGTGTAAAGAAGTGTTAGTATGGTTGTTGACCAGAGTGTTGTGTAAAGAAGTGTTAGTATGGTTGTTGACCAGAGTGTTGTGTAAAGAAGTGTTAGTATGGTTGTTGACCAGAGTGTTGTGTATGGCGGTGCTGTGTTTTACATGTGACTACTTGCGTGCGGAGGGGATCAACGGGAAGTAGCAGGTGAAAAACAGAATGATTTATGGGAAACCTTATCCTGTCCATTGTTCCCCCCTCTGTCTGTGAAGGTAAAGGATAAGGGTATAGAAAGAGAGGGAGGGAGAGAAAATGACAGCGAGAAGGAAAGGAAGGGCCTTTCATCTGACAAACAACACAAGTTGTTCAGTAAAACAGGTGGCTGACTGCTGGGAAAGGTTCTAATAATACAAACCACTGTTTCGTAATAGTCTCCATGAAATCTGGAATTGAGTTTTGCCAGTTTGATGAAGCAACTGAATTTCTTCCTTTTCAGAGTTTTAATGGATATGGGGATCTGTTCAGTGAGACATGGAAGGCTTTCTCTGACTATGACATTATCCATCTGAAAACATTTGACTCTAAAAGGGTAAGAGAGTCAAAGCTTGGGTTTTGTGTGTGTGCATGCGTGAGTGTGTGTGTGTGTGGTCGTACATGGTTGTATAACATGTCCATTACCTTGAAACAGGTGTGCTTCAAAGATGCCGTGTTCTCCCTACTCCCCAGGATGAGATATGGGCTGTTCTATAACACACCTTTGGTACGTATTCTGTCTGTATCTCTCTATGTAATGAGAGATATAGAGATAGAATTGCGCCGCCTTTGAGGAAATCTGAATCCCTTTGAACTGCTTGGGATGTCCCTGCCTTTCTGACTCCATGCATTTTCTTATTTTTATCACACAGGCTTTATGTCCGTGTTTTTTTTTTCATGCTTCTCGCATCCTCATTCCGTTTTCCTGCATCCTCTGATATCCAGTTTGGTCATAACATGCAATTTGTGTCAAATATTTATGTTTTGTATTCATCGTGTCCAGCTCTTATGTTATTTAAATGATAATTTCAAGGAGATGTGGACAGATGGTAACATGTAAATACGTAGGTCTAGGGGGCAGCCTTGAGGTGTGAAATATTGATAGGTTAGCCTCATATCTGATGATTGCTCCTGCTGCTTATATCATGTTTATATTCATGTGCTTATATTTATGACTGCTGTGCTCTGGCCTCTAGGAGTGAATAACAGACCTGTGCTATGCTAGGATTTGAAATGTCTTTCCATGTGTATGCAATTATGTTTGGATTTGGCTGATTTCTATCAAATTACACATTTCACTGTGTGTGTGTTCTCTCTGTGTGTGTTCGTTTGTGTGCGTGAGCGTGCATTTGAGGGACACTGAGTGTGTGTGCCTGTGAGGGACACAGACAAATGGAACTGATGGTTTTTTATTGGTGTGTTAATGGCAGATATCTGACTGCTACAGTGAAGGGATGTTCAGGGCCTTCTCTCAGCATGTTCTATATCGACTCAGCATTCCACAGGATGGACCCAAGGTAAGGAAAACTGACCACACACGCACGTATGACTACGCACACACACACTGACACACACACAAACATACACACATAGCACAGGTCACGTTGTTGGCGCACACACACCTTTTCTTCAGTGGTCTGTAACTCCCCGATACAGGCTTCACTGGTCTTTACGACCCCACACTGAGTGCATTTGACTGGATCTTTACGACCATTGAAGACGGTTGCGAGGATGCAGCTCATTGTGTATTCACGGCTGATGCTAATAATATGCTAACAGGCTCCCTGTGAGATGATGGTGCTTGCGATAGCGTCTCCCAGCTGAATGAGAGGTGTGCCCAGTCCTGACCACCACAGCTCCTTTCAGCTCCTCTCAGCTCCTCCATTCCTCTGATTAATGGCTCAGGGAGACACCAGACCATTGTGCTCTTCTCAGCACCATATCAGCTCTCCTTATGCACACACTGCTGTTTCATGTCATCCATCTAATATGTTTTATAATTGGGTAAAAACATTTATTTAGCACTATGTGGTGTTGGTGTACTCCCTCTGGGTTTCTCCTGACAGTCTGTGTGGTTTGTGGCTGATCACTTTCACAGTTTCTCTGTTTTTAGCATCAGGAGTTGTCTTCCTCAGGCTATTTTCACCTCAGATGGCACAATGCCAATGAGACTGAAAGGGAGTTTCGTAGCACTTTTAGCCACTAGATGGTGATGCTGTATAAGATGCTTGCTCTCAACCTTGTTAGCTCAGCCCGCTGTGCTGTAGTTCTATCATCAACACAATATTTGTAAAAAAGAAAAACTTTTTTAAAAGTACTGTAGAAAACTCCCACTTCCCCCATACCTTATTTGTTGTGGCAGTTTTCTACAAGTACATAAAGTCAAGATTAAGGTCCTTGAAAAACTATGGATGGGCTTAATATGTCAAATTATGGAGTTCATCATAATAATATTTGCAGATGTTGCAATTGCTCTTACTGCATATAAAATATACATGTCATATTTATAATATATAATAATAATATATGCCATTTACCAGATGCTTTTATACAAAGTGAGTTACAGTCATGCGTGCACACATTTACGTATGGGTGGCCCCAGGAATTGAATCCACAATCCTGGCGTTGCAAGCGCCATGCTCCACTTTACCAACTGAGCCACACAGTAAGTATCATCTCACTACCCCTGATCATTATGTTCCTGGTTTCAGGAGGGGAGGATTCGGGTCACGTTGTTGGCACGCAGCACAGACTACCGTAAGATATTAAACCAGCATGAGGTGAGTCCAGGCTGAGGCAGCACTGCCAACCCTCCCTCCCTCCTTCCATTGCCTCCTCCAGCTCTTAACTGGCCATTTAAAATTGTATTTGTTATAAACTGCCGGAGTAAAATGCCTGTGATTTATGCGGCCAGTCTCTGTGTTTGTTTGAGCTCTCATTGATCAGAGAATGCATCTCACTGTGTTCATACAGCTCATAAATGCCCTGAAGACTGTGCCTCTACTCGAGGTCAGAGTGGTGGATTACAAATACAAGTGAGTGAACAGTTTGTATTCTTTAGATGCAGTTTAAGGGAAGTCATGTTGGATTATATAGTACTGCTGGAGAACACAAGGCAGCAGCACAAAAGGAATTGAGTAACAGTTGGATTTTATTGTCTGACACACCGCTATTAGAGTGGAGTAAATATTGAATGTACAGTATAGTATGTTGGAGTGAAGTCAGCAGGAGTATTGGGTTAAGTAGTAAGTAAAATTGTAATATAAGCATTTGACGTGCGGGCTGCAGGTGCTGTGTGTGTCACCTGTCTGTCTGTCTGTCTGTCTGTCTGTCTGTCTGTCTGTCTGTCTGTCTGTCTGTCTGTCTGTCTGTCTGTCTGTCTGTCTGTCTGTCTGTCTGTCTGTCTGTCTGTCTGTCTGTCTGTCTGTCTGTCTGTCTGTCTGTCTGTCTGTCTGTCTGTCTGTCTGTCTGTCTGTAGGGACGTTCCGTTCCTGGAGCAGCTCAGCATTACCCACAACTCTGACATCTTCATCGGGATTCACGGGGCAGGACTTACTCACCTGCTCTTCCTCCCTGATTGGGCCGTCATCTTTGAGCTGTGAGTGACACTTTTCAGTCTGTCTCTGTGTGTCTACAACAGTTTTACTGTACGTCAGATTTTTTCTGGGTCTGTCTGTCTGTTTGTCCCACTGGATCCTTGTCTCTGTCTGTCCTTCCATGCTCTGTGGATGGCAGTAGGGGCCTACAGAAAAAGTACCCAATTGTCATAATTGAGTAAAAGTAAACATACCTTAATAGAAAATGACTAAAGTAAAAGTGAAAGTCACCCACTAAAATACTACTTGTGTAAAAGCCTAAAAGTATTTGGTTTTAAATATACTCTAGTGTCAAAAGTAAATGTAATTGCTCAAATATACACTGCTCAAAAAAATAAAGGGAACACTTAAACAACACAATGTAACTCCAAGTCAATCACACTTCTGTGAAATCAAACTGTCCACTTAGGAAGCAACACTGATTGACAATACATTTCACATGCTGTTGTGCAAATGGAATAGACAACAGGTGGAAATTATAGGCAATTAGCAAGACACCCCCAATAAAGGACTGGTTTTGCAGGTGGTGACCACAGACCACTTCTCAGTTCCTATGCTTCCTGGCTGATGTTTTGGTCACTTTTGAATGCTGGTGGTGCTTTCACTCTAGTGGTAGCATGAGACGGAGTCTACAACCCACACAAGTGGCTCAGGTAGTGCAGCTCATCCAGGATGGCACATCAATGCGAGCTGTGGCAAGAAGGTTTGCTGTGTCTGTCAGCGTAGTGTCCAGAGCATGGAGGCGCTACCAGGAGACAGGCCAGTACATCAGGAGACGTGGAGGAGGCCGTAGGAGGGCAACAACCCAGCAGCAGGACTGCTACCTCCGCCTTTGTGCAAGGAGGAGCAGGAGGAGCACTGCCAGAGCCCTGCAAAATGACCTCCAGCAGGCCACAAATGTGCATGTGTCTGCTCAAACGGTCAGAAACAGACTACATGAGGGTGGTATGAGGGCCCGACGTCCACAGGTGGGGGTTGTGCTTACAGCCCAACACCGTGCAGGACGTTTGGCATTTGCCAGAGAACACCAAGATTGGCAAATTCGCCACTGGCGCCCTGTGCTCTTCACAGATGAAAGCAGGTTCACACTGAGCACATGTGACAGACGTGACAGAGTCTGGAGACGCCGTGGAGAACGTTCTGCTGCCTGCAACATCCTCCAGCATGACTGGTTTGGCGGTGGGTCAGTCATGGTGTGGGGCGGCATTTCTTTGGGGGGCCGCACAGCCCTCCATGTGCTCACCAGAGGTAGCCTGACTGCCATTAGGTACCAAGATGAGATCCTCAGACCCCTTGTGAGACCATATGCTGGTGCGGTTGGCCCTGGGTTCCTCCTAATGCAAGACAATGCTAGACCTCATGTGGCTGGAGTGTGTCAGCAGTTCCTGCAAGAGGAAGGCATTGATGCTATGGACTGGCCCGCCCGTACCCCAGACCTGAATCCAATTGAGCACATCTGGGACATCATGTCTCGCTCCATCCACCAACGCCACGTTGCACCACAGACTGTCCAGGAGTTGGCTGATGCTTTAGTCCAGGTCTGGGAGGAGATCCCTCAGGAGACCATCCGCCACCTCATCAGGAGCATGCCCAGGCGTTGTAGGGAGGTCATACAGGCACGTGGAGGCCACACACACTACTGAGCCTCATTTTGACTTGTTTTAAGGACATTACATCAAAGTTGGATCAGCCTGTAGTGTGGTTTTCCACTTTAATTTTTAGGGTGACTCCAAATCCAGACCTCCATGGGTTGATAAATTTGATTTCCATTTATAATTTTTGTGTGATTTTGTTGTCAGCACATTCAACTATTTAAAGAAAAAAGTATTTAATAAGATTATTTCATTCATTCAGATCTAGGATGTGTTATTTTAGTGTTCCCTTAATTTTTTTGAGCAGTGTACTTAAGTATCAAAGTTCCTTATATTAGCAACCAGACAGCACAATGTATTTATTTATTTATATTTATCAATGGCCAGGGGCACACTCCAACACTCAGACATCATTTACAAACAAAGCATTTGTGTTTAGTTAGTCCGCCAGATCAGAGGCAGTAAGGATGACCAGGGATGTTCTCTTGATAAGTGTATGAATTGGACCATTTTCCTGTCCTGCTAAGCATTCAGTTAGTACTTTTAGGTGTCAGGGAAAATGTATGGAGTAAAAAGTACATTATTTTCACTAAGAATGTAGTGGAGTAAAAGTAAAAGTTGTCAAAAATATAAATAGTAAAGTAAAGTAGAGATACACAAAAAAAACTACTTAAGTAGTACTTTAAAGTATTTTTACTTAAGGACTTTACACCACTTCCAACAGGGCAGAGTGCTCTCTGTGCTGGATATGGTATTCTGTATCTATATGTGTGACGGACGGGTCTGGCAGCATGCAGTGCTCTGTTAGCCCTTAGCCGCAAGGCGTGGCGGTGAAAACAGCCTAATTTAAACAGGCATTCATCAGGCAGGACTGGGAGGCGGACGGCACAGAGAGACGAGAGAGAGAGCAGGAGATGAAGTGTCTCCATCTGTTCTCCACAGATATAACTGTCAGGATGAGAGCTGCTATCGAGATCTGGCTCGGCTGCGGGGGATCCGATATGTGACTTGGCAGAAAAGGGACAAAGTGCTCCCAGAAGATAAGGTGGGAAACTCCAGCCCCACTCTTGCCACCACCTCCACCTCCACCTAACTCACCGCCCCAGATCCCCAGAGACACCTGACTAATGCTCACCTGTAGCTTCAGCATTTATCACCACACTCATCTGTCATTTTGTTTTTAGTACACACACTCATGCTGCCTCGCACACACACTCACAAATCACAGACCTGCAGTGCAGTGTTCATAAAGACTCTTTCTCTCACTTTTCCTCCCTCCCCCTACTCACCACACACAGGGTCACCATCCCACCCTGGGGGATCATCCTAAGTTCACCAACTACTCTTTTGACGTGGAGGAGTTCATGCGTCTGGTGCTGGAAGCAGCGGACTACGTCCTGCACCACCCCAAGTGGCAGCCCCTGCCCAGCCGTGATGAACTGTAAGCCTGCAGCAGGACAAGGACCAAAGGACAGTTTGGTGAAGTCAAACACACGACTAAAACACAGCCGTCTTAAAAATCTAAAAGTATTTTTAACACTAGAGTTGTTGTATAATTTAAGTTTACAACATCACATTTTAGCAATTTATTCTTTCATTTTTTTCTGCAGTGAGTCTTTAAAACAGCCTTATAGGCCAACACAGCCCAAGGTGCATCTCAGTAGCGATAATAAGGTGAAATCAAATGGCCTTGGCAAACCTTATGAGTACCTACTACCATTTCCCTTGTTAGAGAACAGTATATATGCTATACATACACTCCTTACAACAATTTGTATTACATGCTGCCACTGGTAGTTGCCAGAAAGATGATTTGTTTACTTTCTAAAACAATGTGCTTATTTTCTGCATTTTCTGATCAAAGTGGTGTGTTGTACAGTGCCTTGCAAAAGTATTCATCCCCCTTGGCGTTTTTCCTATTTTTTTGCATTACAACCTGTAATTTAAATGGATTTTTATTTGGATTTCATGTAATGGACATACACAAAATAGTCCAAATTGGTGAAGTGAAATGAAAAAAATAACTTGTTTCAAAAAAGTATAAAAAATAAATAACGGAAAAGTGGTGCATGCATATGTATTCACCCCCTTTGCTATGAAGCCCCTAAATAAGATCTGGTGCAACCAATTACCTTCAGAAGTCACATAATTAGTTAAATAAAGTCCACCTGTGTGCAATCTAAGTGTCACATGATCTGTCACATGATCTCAGTATATATACAGTCGTGGTCAAAGTTTTGAGAATGACACAAGTATTGGTCTTCACAAAGTTCGCTGCTTCAGTGTTATGAGATATTTTTGTCAGATGTTACTATGGTATACTGAAGTATAATTACAAGCATTCCATAAGTGTCAAAGGCTTTTATTGACAATTACATTCAGTTTATGCAAAGAGTCAATATTTGCAGTGTTGACCCTTCTTTTTCAAGACCTATGCAATCCGCCCTGGCATGCTGTCAATTAACTTCTGGGCCACATCCTGACTGATGGCAGCCCATTCTTGCATAATCAATGCTTGGAGTTTGTCAGAATATGTGGGTTTTTGTTTGTCCACCCGCCTCTTGAGGATTGACCACAAGTTTTCAATGGGATTAAGGTCTGGGGAGTTTCCTGGCCATGGACCCAAAATGTCGATGTTTTGTTCCCCGAGCCACTTAGTTATCACTTTTGCCTTATGGCAAGGTGCTCCATCATGCTGGAAAAGGCATTGTTCGTCACCAAACTGTTCTTGGATGGTTGGGAGAAGTTGCTCTCGGAGGATGTGTTGGTACCATTCTTTATTCATGGCTGTGTTCTTAGGCAAAATAGTGAGTGAGCCCACTCCCTTGGCTGAGAAGCAACCCCACACATGAATGGTCTCAGGATGCTTTACTTTTGGCATGACACAGGACTGATGGTAGCGCTCACCTTGTCTTCTCCGGACTAAGTGTTTTCCGGATGCCCCAAACAATCGGAAAGGGGATTCATCAAAATGACTTTACCCCAGTCCTCAGCAGTCCAATCCCTGTACCTTTTGCAGAATATCAGTCTGTCCCTGATGTTTTTCTTGGAGAGAAGTGGCTTCTTTGCTGCCCTTCTTGACACCAGGCCATCCTCCAAAAGTATTTGCCTCATTGTGCGTGCAGATGCACTCACACCTGCCTGCTGCCATTCCTGAGCAAGCTCTGCACTGGTGGTGGCCCGACCCCGCAGCTGAATCAATTTTAGGAGACGGTCCTGGCACTTGCTGGACTTTCTTGGGCGCCCTGACACCTTCTTCACAACAATTGAACCTCTCTCCTTGAAGTTCTTGATGATCCGATAAATGGTTGATTTAGGTGCAATCTTACTAGCAGCAATATCCTTGCTTGTGAAGCCCTTTTTGTGCAAAGCAATGATGACGGCACGTGTTTCGTTGCAGGTGACCATGGTTAACAGAGGAAGAACAATGATTTCAAGCACCACCCTCCTTTTAAAGCTTCCAGTCTGTTATTTTAACTCAATCAGCATGGCAGAGTGATCTCCAGCCTTGTCCTCGTCAACACTCTCACCTGTGTTAACGAGAGAATCACTGACATGATGGCAGCTGGTCCTTTTGTGGCAGGGCTGAAATGCAGTGGAAATGTTTTTGGGGGATTAAGTTCATTTTCGTGGCAAAGAGGGACTTTGCAATTAATTGCAATTCATCTGATCACTCTTCATGACATTCTGGAGTATATGCAAATTGCCATCATCAAAACTGAGGCAGCAGACTTTGTGAAAATGTATATTTGTGTCATTCTCAAAACTTTTGACCACGACTGTACACCTGTTTTGAAAGGCCCCAGAGTCTGCAACACCACTAAGCAAGGGGCACCACCAAGCAAGCGGCACCATGAAGACCAAGGAGCTCTCCAAACAGGTCATGGACAAAGTTGTGGAGAAGTACAGATCAGGGTTGGGTCATAAAAAAATATCAGAAACTTGGAACATCCCACGGAGCACCATTAAATCCATTATTAAAAAATGGAAAGAATATGGCACCACAACAAACCTGCCAAGAGAGTGCCGCCCACCAAAACTCACGGCCCAGGCAAGGAGGGCATTAAAGAGACCAAAGATAACCCTGAAGGAGCTGCAAAGCTCCACAGCGGAGATTGGAGTATCTGTCCGTAGGACCACTTTAAGCCTGACACTCCACAGAGCTGGGCTTTACGGAAGAGTGGCCAGAAAAAAGCCATTGCTTAAAGAAAAAAATAAGCAAACACGTTTGGTGTTCGCCAAAAGGCATGTGGTAGACTCCCCAAACATATGGAAGAAGGTAGTCTGGTCAAATGAGACTAAAATTGAGCTTTTTGGCCATCAAGGAAAACGCTATGTCTGGCGCAAACGCAACACCTCTCATCACCCCGAGAACACCATCCCCACAGTGAAGCATGGTGGTGGCAGCATCATGCTGTGGGGATGTTTTTCATTGGCAGGGACTGGGAAACTGGTCAGAATTGAAGGAATGATGGATGGCGCTAAATACAGGGAAATTCTTGAGGGAAACCTGTTTCAGTCTTCCAGAGATTTGAGACTGGGACGGAGGTTCACCTTCCAGCAGGACAATGATCCTAAGCATACTGCTAAAGCAACACGTGAGTAGTTTAAGGGGAAACATTTAAATGTCTTGGAATGGCCTAGTCAAAGCCCAGACCTCAATCCAATTGAGAATCTGTGGTATGACTTAAAGATTGCTGTACACCAGCAGAACCCATTGAAGGAGCTGGAGCAGTTTTGCCTTGAAGAATGGGCAAAAATCCTAGTGGCTAGATGTGCCCAGCTTATAGAGACGGCTCTACAAAAGGTGGCTCTACAAAGTATTGAATGAATAGTTATGCACACTCAGGTTTTCTGTTTTTTTGTCTTATTTCTTGTTTGTTTCACAATAACAAATATTTTGCAAATGATACAAACCTCCCAAAAATCAATTTTAAATACAGGTTGTAAGGCAACAAAATAGGAAAAATGCTAAGGGGGGTGAATACTTTCGCAAGCCACTGTAGACAGGCAGGGATGGAACTTTCAACATGTTGTATATGTGCCAATTTTATCAACACTTCAGAATCGTCTTTGCAAGTATTTTGTAGTCACTACATATAGTAAACTTCCATGAAAGGGAAAACACAAACTATATAATCAATCTAAAGCTGGATGTTTTATTTATAAGTGAAAGGGAGTCAGACCTTTTGGTCAATGTTTTGGAAAGTCTTGTAAATCATGTTATATTTCAAAGCCATGGAAACGTTTTGAAATAAATATTTTCAAAAGTGTTGACATCTCTTTTTTTTTATGGCAATTTAAGCAGCAATTATTTTATTACTCATAATTATATTCAATCTTTTGATAGTAACTGTGAACAAAATCTCCTGAACTTTTCCAAAATAATTGCTGACCTCAGACAGTAATTTGCTGTGGGTTTGATTATTTTAGTTTGCTGGGGGCTGGGGAGGAACGGCTCCCCACAAAAGGGCGCTGGTTCAGATCTTTTTGTCATCGCCATAAATCTGTCTGACCTCAAAACCACCACGTCTTCGCTGTCGGTGACACCTGTGCACCGCTAGATGGCAGTAGAACACCACACATGAGTCAATTTAGATTACTTTTTTTCGAGGATCACAGGGAGAGAATTATAAGATGTGTGGAACTGCCTTGATTGGTGTGAGAGTGCTTCTCTTGTATAAGTCTGTCGAAATCCTGTGAAATCTGGGTCAGGTTTTATTGAGTTGATCATAGAGTGATAGATATGTTAGCTCTTAAATCTGAAGATGCATCAGGCCAAATAGCTCATGTTCTAAAGAGTTGTCAGCTGTTGTACCCCATGCAAAACACTGCCACGACAAATATCTGTATCTGAGCTGCTCTTGTCGATGATGTGGCTGAACTTTCCCAGTATTGACAGACACCGGTGCTGTCTGGGATGGACACTATTTATGGATCGGCTCAGGTTACAGCCATTGACCGCTTAAAGAAAAGAATCATCTCTACGCAGGGGATCTAAAGCAGAGAAACCAATATATCTGCTGCTCTCATTAACCTTCATGGCAGCAGGTTGAAATGCCAAGCCCAGTGTTCCCACTCCCCATTTTTTTTTACTATGAACAGCCGAATAAGACATCATCACAATTTGTATTTTTGGACAGAAATGAGAACATGGGGAAACTAAGTACCAAGAGTTATTGTAACTTGACTCAGAAAGTCAAATATTGTGTGTGAGTGTGTGTGTGTGTGTGTGTGAGAGAGAGAGAGCTCTGCCCCTTGGAAACCCGATGTGGTCCATTGGTAATCGGTGCGCAGTGTGTGTGTGCGTGCCTCCTGTGTAATTAGGAAGGAAGAATGTGCTAATTGAGTTATGGTCTTAGGGTGCGGTAGAATCCATCTCACCACTCATTATCTATGAGTGTTAGCCATTAGTGCTAATGACAGCGATTTTTGAGTATTTTCTTCAGGTGTCCCACGTGGTGCTTTATAAACAGGTCTGCTTGGGTGGGCTTATTTCGTCATGTTAGAAGCAATAGTGTGAGTCCACTGGAGGTGTTGAATTACTGCCGCCTCTGTCGCTCTTAATGCACGCCTTATGAGCTTGAAATATGCAAGCAGAGGGAGTGCTCCTTCATAGAGAGCCTATGGCTTCTTCGTGGGGAAGTGTGCTGTGCGTAAAGTCATTACCGCACATCTCAGCCCGTGATTCAGACTAGATTAGGCAGAATTATTACACTGCAGTTTTACAGGTTGGACTTTTGAGGATTGTGCTCTCACTGTCAATGCAGGGGAAATATATTGGCCTAATGCCAACTACCGTCTGGGGTTATTTTCAGAGGCATATTTTTGATTATATTCTTAATAAATCGAAATCATTGTTTAGTGTTTCTGTATCAATAAGTCCTTTGTTTTGA